AGAGAGAGAGAGAGAGATACCACACAGCAAGGAAAGTTTCTAGGAAGCATGCATACATTTTAAAACTGTAAAATCTACCCAGCAAGAGCCATCAGAACTCAGAAACCACCCCCCAGCTAGCCCTACCCCCCCACCAACAAGCTGCAAAAAATCCTGTACAGTAAAGTACAGTAAAAACATACTGTAGTGTACTCACCCAGAACAGCAGCTTTTAAACTAAATTTTACATTTTAAAACGACAATACCAGGCAGTCCTAGGTTTTTCTCCCAGCAGTTAGCTAGCAAGGAAGCAGACAAGCAGCCTCTTCACTAACTGAAAGCTTGGATTTCCCCTGCTTTCCCTGCCTTCCCCGCCTATTAGGTATGCTAATATCTGTGCACTGGAGGATTGTGGGAGGAACATCCAGCCCCTGATGGGGGTCCTGTGGGGCACCCCAAAACACTGAGGAGCTCTCCTGGCCTCTTTTGGGACTGGGGCTGTGCAGCCATGTTCTGATCAGGAGGTACAGGCGGGGAGTCACCATACCTTTGGAGGGTAGGGCAAACAAAGGGCCAGGAGGTTCAGGAGCCATTCCAACTCATACCTGGCAGGGGAGATACCATTCTTATAAGAGTGCTTTTCCCAGGGTAAGGCTCATCTATTGCACTTCAGATGAGCTGACCCCTGTGATTTCCCCAATGTGGGAAAATCAACTGCCTAAGTGGGGGACTGTGTTTCTGGTTTCCCCTGGTTTTTCTAGAATCACTTTTTCCCCTTTGGTCCTTGGCTGTTTGCATTGTTTGCTGCCATAGGCCTGTTTGCCTTGCTGGTTTTTCAGGTGCTCTGCAGGAAGCAGATCTTGGAAAGCCAGCAGTGCAGAATGGTGAGGTCTAAACAGCAAGCAATCTTTGCTGCCAGCTCAGAGGCCTCCCAGCATGGCAGTGGGAGGCTTCTGGGGGGTGGTGGCTGAACCCTTTTTTTACTGTATTTACTCCATAAGATGCACCTACTTTTGCCCCCACCTTTTTGGAGGAAAAAAGTGCATCTTATGGAGCAAAAAATACGGTAAGTACACTTTTTATCCCAATTGCATGTTTTATTTCTTTTATTGGAAGTGGGGAGCAGATAAAAACAGACAAAAGTCTGAGGAGGCCATGATCCTGTTTTTAAAGTGTGTATATGCTCAAGAGAGAGGAAACGAGGTGTATTGTCCCACCATTACTATGGATGGATTCTGAACAACTCTAGGGTTTTAATGATGAAAGAAGTTTAAGTTGCATTGTCTACTCTAGAATATACTGATTTGGTAGTTAAATCCAGCCTATATGTACCAACTTTCTAGTGAAGTGAAAGCATTTGTATGTGCAGCTTTAACTGACAGAGAACTAATCCTTCCATATATTGGCAAGAGTGTTATTCAGTGCATGTAAAGGGGCCAGATGCTCCCACTCTGGCCTAGGTGGTACAGTATAATGCTGGGGCAGTGAATAAAAAGTAATCCTTTATTACTTTAAAATGTGATGCTCACTGTTTAGTAATATGAATCACTTCACCATCCCTTCAAACCAACCTCTGCCCTTACTCGTTTTGTTTAGTCGTTTAGTCGTGTCCGACTCTTCATGACCCCATGGACCAGAGCACGCCTGCCCTTACTACTAGCACTTATTGCTAGCACACACACAAATTATCTCTTGGCAAAGTGCAAATATATCAGCACTGTGAGCTGTTGGGGTAACTTGACTGGCTTCCATGTAGCTTGCTGCCTTTGCCTCTCAGGTACCAGACAGTAAGATGTGGGTTCTAAACCAAAATACAAATAGGAAGATTTCTCCCTTCTATTTGCCAAGAGGTGATGGGTCCGGTGGCCACGATTTTTTTTTTTTTTTTTTTTTTTTTGGCAGAAACATTTTCAGAAGATGTGGAGCACCAAGATTATGCAGATGAACATGGTATGTTGTTTAATAGCTCCATGCAACACTGTGTTACAGTAACTCTGAGACTGCTAATTTTTATAATACACTTGGAACATCAGACATTTAAAAAATCAAGTAAAGTACCTTCTCATGCATACAAAGTTACCCACAGGCTCTTTTACATCTAATTGGTATCTTCCTTTCACTGGGGATTTGAATGACTAGAAAAGGTGAAAGTACAGTGGTGTCCAACATGACGACGACCCCGCAGAATGACGAAATTTCATGACAATGACTTTTTTGCAAATCCAAAACGATGTTTCCTATGGGGGATTTTCGTAGGTCCTTGCTTCGCAAACTGTTTGTTTGCAAAACAACAATTTTTCCAGCTGCGCAGAATGGCTGCCCTGTGTTTTCCAGACCCATGCTTCGCAGGGCAGCCATTTTAACAGCTGATTGGCTGTTAAAATGGCTTCCCCTATTGGCGATCTTCGCTGGACGACGAGGTAATTTCCCCATCGGAACGCATTAAATGGGTTTCAATGTATTCCAATGGGGAATTGTTCTTCGCATGACGACGATTTTGCTTAACAGCGATTTTCCTGGAACGGATTATCGTTGTCATGCGGGGCACCACTGTACTCAACTTGCTATGTGCATGCATGTTTGTCTCTGTCTGGAAAAGGTTAATAGGCATGTCAGTTATAATAGATGCATTTGGAAAACCTGTCATTTAAAAGAAAGTGATTTGTGACTAGTGCTTGCATGTTTTGTTTTTGCTGTCTCTTACAACCACAATCCTATGCACATTTGGTAAGCAAGCAAGCAAAACAAGTTTATTGCACGGCACACAGGCCATTGGTATATCAGATAAAACAATATAAACAATATAATATAGTCCAATACAATACAGTATTAAACGCCATTTAGAATCGAATCAAGTTGATTTCTATTACAGTGCAAAGTTTTAACATCTAAGGAGAGGGCAAAGGCAGATGGAAGACATTAACCAATTCCAGCAGCAAGCACTTAACACTAGGGGAATAACATCAAAGATACAATTACTTAAATATTAATTGATAGAGGCGGGGGATACAGACTTCATTTTTAACAATGTAGAGATAAACTGTGCCATTCAGAAGGTAACAAATTTGTCTCTGTCGGAAAGTAGGATCTTAGGCTGGTTTTGTTCAGAATTACTAGAATGTTTTTTGTAAAATAGGGTTGAGAAATCTTTCACGATAGGGCTCTAATACTGGACAATAAGCACTACATGTGCCAAATTCTCCACTGATTTTTGGTCACAAGAGCAAACTCTCTCGTGGTATGGAATTTTTGTATAGCATCCTAATAAACTGGCTAGTGGTAACATATCAAAACCTGCCCAAGTAAAAGCTTTTCTGTAATCCAAAGTCATTAAATCAGTAAAATAAAATGGAGAATTTAAAGGCTAGGGTAAAATGTTCTTATATAAAGGGGCTGTTTTAGTGTGCCTAACAAACCTGAACTGGTTTGAACCTATGGTCGGACAATCTCTGTTTCAGTAAATGTTTTTCAGCGGGTAGGCCAAGGTATCTCACATACTCTTCGGAGAATCCAAGTTTAGCAACTAGCTACAGTGCAAAAGGTTTCTACGATCTAAAATTCTTCTCCCTATATGATGCTATTAAAAATTTTGATTGGGTGATGAACAAAATTTCCAGCCAGTAATTAATTGTTAACTTATAGACTAATGTTAATAATGTACCAGTTTTCTCATAGTTGATATTAAGGAAATTTTCCATACAATAGTTGCTAAATTGTTTCAATAATCTTCTAAGTCCTATTTGAGTATGAAATATTAACAGGATACTATCTGCGTAAAGTAATATTAAAATAGCCTTTCCACCTTCTCTTGTGGAAGAGAAATATAGTCCCATGAATCTATGCAACATGTCATTGACATATAAGTTATAGAGCAATGGAGCTAGGATACAACTTTGACGGACACCCTTAGATGTTTTAACTATATTGTATAGTTGGCCAGAAACGCCGAGTCTGACCTTTAGAGAAGAGTTGGTATGCAGATTCTTATTTCTTGCTAGCAATCTAGGACCTATTCCAAAGTTTATAAGCAGTGAGGCCCTCTGTTCAGTGAGGCTTATTTTCATGTTTATAGTCACTGTCTCTGTGTTGCAGCCAGTTTCTTCATGGATTGCTGCCTTGTCGTGGCGAAGGGGCTTTGGTAACTCAGAGAAACTATGGGCTATGCCGTGCAGGGACACCCAAGACGGACAGGTCATAGTGGAGAGTTCCGACTAAACGCAATCCACCTGGAGTAGGAAATGGCAAGCCACTCCAGTATCTTTGCCAAGAACGCCCCATGATCAGAAACAAAAGGCTAAAAGATATGACGCTGGAAGATGGGCCCCTCAGGTCGGAAGGCGTCCAACATGCTACTGAGGAAGAGTGGAGGACAAGTACAAGTAGCTCCAGAGCTAATGAAGTGGTTGGGCCAAAGCCGAAAGGACGCTCAGCTGTGGACGTGCCTGGAAGTGAAAGGAAAATCCAATGCTGCAAAGAAAAATACTGCATAGGAACCTGGAATGTAAGATCTATGAACATTGGGAAGCTGGAGGTGGTCAAACAGGAGATGGCAAGAATAAACATCGACATCCTGGGCATCAGTGAACTAAAATGGACAGGAATGGGCGAATTCAGCTCAGATGATTATCATATCTACTATTGTGGACAAGAATCCCGTAGAAGGAATGGAGTAGCCCTCATAGTCAACAAAAGAGTGGAAAAAGCTGTAATGGGATACAATCTCAAAAATGATAGAATGATGTCAATACGAATCCAAGGCAGACCAATCAACATCACAATAATCCAAGTTTATGCACCAACCAGCATTGCTGAGGAGACTGAAATTGAACAATTCTATGAAGATTTACAACACCTTCTAGAACTGACACCAAAGAAAGATGTTCTTCTCATTCTAGGGGACTGGAATGCTAAAGTAGGGAGCCAAGAGATAAAAGGAACAACAGGGAAGTTTGGCCTTGGAGTTCAGAACGAAGCAGGACAAAGGCTAATAGAGTTTTGTCAAGAGAATAAGCTGGTCATCACAAACACTCTTTTCCAACAACACAAGAGGCGACTCTATACATGGAAATCACCAGATGGGCAATATCGAAATCAGATTGATTATATTCTCTGCAGCCAAAGATGGAGAAGCTCTATACAGTCAGCAAAAACAAGACCTGGAGCTGACTGCGGTTCTGATCATCAGCTTCTCATAGCAAAATTCAAGCTTAGACTGAAGAGATTAGGAAAAACCACTGGGCCACTCAGGTATAATCTAAACCAAATCCCTTATGAATACACAGTGGAAGTAAAGAACAGATTTAAGGAACTAGATTTGGTGGACAGAGTGCCTGAAGAACTTTGGATAGAGGCTCGTAACATTGTCCAGGAGGCAGCAACGAAAACCATCCCAAAGAAAAGGAAATGCAAGAAAGTAAAGTGGCTGTCCAACGAGGCCTTAGAAATAGCAGAGAGGAGAAGGGAAGCAAAATGCAAGGGAGATAGGGAAAGTTACAGAAACTTGAATTCAGACTTCCAAAGAATAGCAAGGAGAGACAAGAGGGCCTTCTTAAATGAACAATGCAAAGAAATAGAGGAAGATAACAGAAAAGGAAAGACCAGAGATCTGTTCAGGAAAATTGGACATATTAGAGGAACATTTTGCGCAAAGATGAACATGATAAAAGACAAAAATGGGAGGGACCTAACAGAAGCAGAAGACGTCAAGACGAGGTGGCAAGAATACACAGAGGAATTATATCGGAAAGATTTGGATATCCCGGACAATGCAGACAATGTAGTTGCTGACCTTGAGCCAGACATCCTGGAGAGTGAAGTCAAGTGGGCCTTAGAAAGCCTGGCTAACAACAAGGCCAGTGGAGGTGATGGCATTCCAGTTGAACTATTTAAAATCTTGAAAGATGATGCTGTTAAGGTGCTACATTCAATATGCCAGCAAGTTTGGAAAACTCAACAGTGGCCAGAGGATTGGAAAAGATCAGTCTACATCCCAATCCCAAAGAAAGGCAGTGCCAAAGAATGCTCCAACTACCGTACAATTGCACTCATTTCGCACGCTAGCAAGGTTATGCTCAAAATCCTGCAAGGTAGGCTTCAGCAGTATGTGGACCGAGAACTCCCAGAAGTACAAGCTGGATTCCGAAGAGGCAGAGGAACTCGAGACCAAATTGCTAACTTGCGCTGGATTATGGAGAAAGCCAGAGAGTTCCAGAAAAATATCTACTTCTGCTTCATTGACTATGCGAAAGCCTTTGACTGTGTGGACCACAGCAGACTATGGCAAGTTCTTAAAGAAATGGGAGTGCCTGACCACTTTATCTGTCTCCTGAGAAACCTATATGTGGGACAGGAAGCAACAGTTAGAACTGGTCATGGAACAACTGAGTGGTTCAAAATTGGGAAAGGAGTACGGCAAGGCTGTATATTGTCCCCCAGCTTATTTAACTTATATGCAGAATACATCATGCGGAAGGCTGGACTGGAAGAAACCCAAGCCGGAATTAAGATTGCCGGAAGAAATATCAACAACCTCCGATATGCAGATGATACCACTCTGATGGCAGAAAGTGAGGAGGAATTGAAGAACCTTGTAATGAGAGTGAAAGAGGAGAGTGCAAAAAACGGTCTGAAACTCAGCATCAAAAAAACTAAGATCATGGCCACTGGTCCCATCACCTCCTGGGAAATAGAAGGGGAAGATATGGAGGCAGTGTCAAATTTTATCTTCCTGGGCTCCATGATCACTGCAGATGGAGACAGCAGCCCTGAAATTAAAAGGCGCCTTCTTCTTGGGAGGAAAGCGATGACAAATCTGGACAGCATCTTGAAAAGCAGAGACATCACCTTGCCAACAAAAGTCCGAATAGTCAAAGCTATGGTTTTTCCTGTCGTGATGTATGGAAGTGAGAGCTGGACCATAAAGAAAGCTGACCGCCGAAGAATTGATGCCTTTGAATTTTGGTGCTGGAGGAGGCTCTTGAGAATCCCCTGGACTGCAATGAGAACAAACCTATCAGTTCTAAAGGAAATCAACCCTGAATGCTCACTTGAAGGACAGATCCTGAAGCTGAGGCTCCAGTACTTTGGCCATCTCATGAGAAGAAAAGAGTCCTTGGAAAAAACCTTGATGTTAGGAAGGTGTGATGGCAAGAGGAGAAGGGGACGACCGAGGATGAGATGGCTGGACAGTGTCTGCGAAGCAACCAACATGAACCTGACACAACTCCGGGAGGCAGTAGAAGACAGGAGGGCCTGGCGTGCTCTGGTCCATGGGGTCACGAAGAGTCGGACACGACTAAACGACTAAACACTCAGAAACCTAACCTAGTTCTTCATTGTAGTCTCGATGAAATCACACGTTGGGTTCTGTTCTGCACCTGCACAGACATCTTGGAACCTTTTAGGCCAAGGAAGAGTCCTTGGACCACACAACCACCATGCGTCGGACACGACTAAACGACTAAACACTCAGATCTAAAACCTAGTTCTTCATTGTAGTCTCGATGAAATCACACGTTGGGTTCTGTTCTGCACCTGCACAGACATCTTGGAACCTTTTAGGCCAAGGAAGAGTCCTTGGACCACACACCCTGACCACCATGCATGCTCCCTTCCTCTGGAGCAGTCATCAGTTCCCTTTCAGGTCTACTAAGAACTCCAAAGTATTACTCCCATTATCTCTGGTAAGATGATCAGGGCATTTTGGTGTTTTGAAAAAAGCAAGGCATAATTTCTGAAATTCCCATTGTTTCTAAGGTTCAGCTACATTCCAGCTCCCCCAAGTGCATATGTGTGACGTGGCAGGCCACTCTGATGTCACTGCCAACTCAGGCCTCTCAGAATGCCCACCACACCACTTCACACTCGCTGTCACCAATTATAATGACTAGTTAAGAAGGACAAAGGTTTCCTTCAAAACAAAACAGGTTTATTGAGATAACAAAATAAAATATGAAAATCACAAGTAGCCAATCACGATGTCAATCATTGTTTCTTATTTAATCAATCACAGACTTTCTCTCACTGAATACTTAGGCACACAGGCCTCTAAACAAGCTCTTTCTCTCTCACACTCTAGATCTGATCTCTCACACTCTCTTCACACCCCTTTTTCTTCCAGCTCCTCCCTCTTCAGCCCCACCCTCCGTCACCCCATTGGCTGATGATTCACTGCCCAGCTGTGACGGACAGGTGAGGTCAGGGCTAGGGTATTTTGGTGTTTTGAAAAAAGCAAGGCATAATTTCTGAAATTCCCATTGTTTCTAAGGTTCAGCTACATTCCAGCTCCCCCAAGTGCATATGTGTATCTTTTTCCTTCATTCTGTTATCCATCTTTTATCTTGTTGTCTTTGTTTTGCCATCCGCTCCATCACCTTACTACTACTACTACTACTACTACTACTACTACTACTACTACTACTACTACTACTACTACTACTACTACTACTACTACTACTACTACTACTACTACTACTACTACTACTACTACTACTACTACTACTACTACTACTACTACTACTACTACTACTACTACTACTACTACTACTACTACTACTACTACTACTACTACTACTACTACTACTACTACTACTACTACTACTACTACTACTACTACTACTACTACTACTACTAATAATAATAATAATAATAATAATAATAATAATAATAATAATAATAATAATGTGTACTTTAAAGTTAATGGCACAGTGGAATTCACAAAGATATTGACTTAACAGTGCTCAGTACAGTCATTTCTGTTTCTAATATTTGCTACTTATTGTTACCTAAAAATCTGTGATTTCCTTGCATTTTCTTCTAATATGTGTTCATTTTGCCATTCTAGTTTTTAAATATAAAGTTATGCATTCCTTTTTTTTTTTTTTTTAGACTTAGAAAATGAAGAGTTTATTGAAGCCGGGGAGACAGGTAACTTTACTGTGACTTATCATGAAAATATTGCAGTTTCAAAGATAAATAGTAGCAAATCATATTTATTTGCTCACAGTATGATAGTTTTCATCCTGTAGAACCAGAAAGTGTTTGTAATTGGGAAAAAAATTTGAATGAACATTGGTAGTTTGCGTCTGGTTAATGATAAGAGTTGGCTCCTCTAGTGCAGCTTCTTCACTGATGGGCTTTAAGTGCTTAACTGCATATTATGTGTAAATGTGTGCAACAGAATTCTGGTAATCAGTTATGGTTGTTCGTGGGGGTTTTTATTATTATAAAAAGCAACCGTGTCCTGCTTCTCTGTTCCCATTTGTGTCCCCACAAACCACTTCTTCTGCTCTATGAGTTCTTATCACACATTTTTGAGAGCTTTGACACATTCTGTCTGTTTCCCTTTACAGTGGGGTCTCTACTTAAGAACGTCTCTACTTAAGAACAATCCAACTTAAGAACAGCTCCATTTGCTAAATTTTGCTTCTACTTGAGAACAGAAATCCAAGATAAGAA